GGGCGCTGCTGGGCTGCGGCGGCGGCGGCGGCGGCGACGGTTACTATGGCGGAGTCGGCCGGAGCCTCCTCCTTCTTTCCTCTTGTTGTCCTGCTGTTCGCGGGCAGCGGCGGGTCGGGGCCCCGGGGGATCCAGGGTGAGTCCCGGGCCGGGGGTGGCGGGGGCCGGGATGGAGAGGGCTTGGCGAGGGCGAGGCCTCGAGCCGCGGCTCTTGGGCTACAGCGCGCCCCCTCCCCACGCGCACAATATGGCCGGGCGGGGGGTCCCCGAGGAGTCGGGGTGACCCTCAGTCAGCCTCCCCGGACCTCCGAGGCGCGGCCGCCCAGCTGATCCAGAGCTCACGCCAGGCCCCTGGGGACACGAACCTCCTTCTAGGCGGAACTGGAATCGGGGAGCTCTCGGGGGTCGCGCTCCCAATCTCATCGTGTTCCATAGCGGAGAGTCCTGGCTTCCATCCCCAAGATTTGGAGAGCAATGGTTTCTGCTTCTCGACATGCCCAGGGACGGGGGGGCTTTATTGCCTCCTTCCAGATGCTCTTTGGGGGCGCCTTTTTCCCGGCAGTGTGTGGAGTCGGGCGATGGGGTCTTTGATACTCGGAGGTACCCTGACCCTGAGGGTCCTTGCTCACCTGAGATTATAGGGGGAGGGGTCTTTAACCTTGCCTTCAGATCCTGCACTTGGGGTGGCTCTTCCCCTCCCGTCCCCTCCTCCCTAATTATCTGAGAAAGAGAGTCCCATTTCCCCTTCGCTCGATCCTCTGAGTTCACTAGGGGCCAAGCCCCCCACCTCCAACATATTCTCTGTGGAAGCTGTTTGGAGGAAATGAGATGAACAGGCCCCTAAACCTTTTTTGGAGTGTGGCTTCAGAATCTCTCTAACCCTCTGAAATCTAGTTCCAGAAAGGTTTATCTGAATCTAGGTGTATTTGCTTTCCTCCTTCCCTCCCCCAGCCCACCCCAGGGGGCCCATTTAGTTAATTACTTTGTGGAGGCCTTTCTGGTGAAATCCTAGAAACTGTCTCCAACCCCCAAGATTATTTAATGATCCTGCCACTGCAACAGCTCCCAGGTCCTTAGTCGGTACTTATTTACCTTCCCACACAATCCCTGCTTCCAGCCCACCCCCCACATAACCCCCATCCTTACACACCCTTACCTTCCAATCCCTAAACCCTTTTGCTCCCTTGATACCACCGCCACGCTTCCCACTGTAGAGGTGGGTAACCGGTCTGTGGGACGCTCGAAGGTATGTTGTTTATGAGACTTTGGGGACTGAAAAGAACAGAGGAACCCCTGAAATATTTCATTTAGGAGAATCGACTCAAATGCGTTTTGGCATTGGGGTAGAAGATGAAGGTTATATTTGGCAATTCTATTGAAGTGATTATTGACCTTACAGACGGAACTGGGAGAGATGATCAGGATTGTATTCTCTCCTTATGTACAAAACCAGCAATGGGAGATCAAGTGGGTTTCCTCTCCACTAAAAATAATGATTCTTCAGGTGGGTTCAGACGTCCATAATAAACCAGACAATCGGGAAGAGACATCACCTCACTTTGGAGGGTCAAAAACAAGTTCATTATCTCTGGCTGTGATTTTTGCTCCTGGTGTTGTTATCTGTGCAGTGGGGTCTTTGTTCACTTGGAGAATGAATGCTTCTACTAAGCACCTCGTGTGTGTTCTTTGGTCTAGCTGCTCTGTGGCGTGGGTAACCATGCCGTGTGGTCTGATAAACACAGTGAAGGTATATGAATGGAGCCTGACATTTGTGGTGAGGTAATGGTTTTAGTGAATAAGATGTGTGCTGGGCCTTAATATGGGCCATGTTTTTGGAATATGTAACATAGTGTTGTTTCTCTAATGGAGTAGTAAATAAGGAGACTCAGCCTTCAGGTTTGCCCATTTTTCTGTGTATAAATAAGTCTTTCAATTCCTTGCATAACCATTTTTTATGTTGTCTCTATATATGCAAGATTTTAAACAACCATTTCCCTATTGGTTTGCTGTAGTGTCTGTGTATTTTTTCATGTTGTGAGTCTAGTTCGAAATGTTTAATTGATAATGCCAGTGGTTCTGAAAGGGCAGAGTTCATTTTTTTAACCTTCCTAAAATGGATGTTTACTGGGGTCAGGATGGGTGGGCATAATAGAGAGTTAGTTTCTTTTTTTGGTAAATTGGAAATTGGGTTGTGTGTCCAGCAAACATTCTCGAAAGCCTTTAAACTTCTTGGCCAGACACTACAGTTTTTTTCCGGGACACATCTAGTTGCCAGTAGTACATGTTATGGAGACCACTGTTGCAAAAGGCTAAGAGTAAAACGTCAGTTCTGGGAAAATAGAGGCTGTGGGTTAACTAGAAGCTGATTTGTTTTTCCTTCCCCTGCATTTCTTATACGGTGTGGGTGGAGGAGGGAGTGGGCTGGAGGAGCAGCAGAGTTGGGCAGTTCTGATGCATGGTACTTGAACTTGAAAAGAGGGCAGTAAGGGATAGGTGTTTCTATTAATTAATAAAATTGAGACTTAGTAAAAGGCCAGTGATAAAGAGAATGCTTTTCAAGTTAGAAACAGCATCCCTTTTGTAGATATATTTTAAGGCCTAGTTTTGGAATTTTCACATAAGTATTTTAAAATGCAAAATTAGATTGTAGCACAAGAACATGACATTCACTTCTCCAGACTAAAGCAATAAGAGAGACATTTGTGGTGTCCTCATAGGAACCTTTTGAATTTCTCTGAACAAATGAAAAATCTCATTTCAGGGCAAGTCTTGTCATTTTGTTGAATGGACACAAATCTGAAGTACAGTGTTGTGAATGCTTATGGAGAAAAAGAGAATCTATGTGATTAGTTTTGTTACAACAACTCCTGGAACAGATGTGATTAGAACATATTAAAATGGCCACTCTGGTGAAAGGTTAGAGCCACATGGAGGGGAGGGGAGGCTGCTTTACTGCTCCAGAACTCCCCTCCCCTCCCCTCCCTTACAGGTTGTCCTTGAACAAGTAACTTAACAGCTCTGTGGCTCTGCTTCAGTTTTTCCTGTAGAAAGTAAGGAAATGTTTCACACCATTCTTATTGGGACATTTGTGAATCTGACTTACTGATAGTCACTTGGCTGGGAGGTATTTTTAGACACAGTTTCTGACTTCAGTGAATAAGCAATGTTGGGTTACTTTTTATCTTATGGGGCAGAATAACATTCTGTGATTGACAGGGATACCACATGTCAGTGTGGTTCATTTTCTTCTTATTTGTGCAGTTTTTGTTGACCCATTTCAGATTTCCTGGAGTTAATTTCAGTCTTTGACAGGCTCTTACATCTGTAGACCTGGTAGCATACCTGTGCTAATCAAAGACAGTCTGGAGGGAGTGACCTGCTTTAGGCTTTATTGGTTTGGCAACATTTGAATTCTTACGCAACTCTGGGTATGTTTATGGCACTATGTAAATGTTACATAAGAACATGGAGGCTGAGAGGTGGCCAGAATGGTGACTGTGAGCACGGGAAGGTTATACTGAGGACTTCATCTGAAAGAACCTTGGGGATCTGCAGCCACTTCATTTTCCTCCACAAACCTTTTTAGATGATTGTGCCTTTCAGGTGGACTGCTGTGTTATAAATAGGTTTATTCTCCACCGGTGAGCTAATTGTAACCTTGCTACCAAAATATGAATCAGTAAACCGAGGAGGAGCCGGGGAGCTGAGCTGCTTCTTTCAGCATGTCCTGTTGAAGCTGCTTGTTGCATTTTGGAGCAGGAGGTGAATGGCGCTGCAGTCTGTTCTCATGATAACTCAGGAGCACAGAGTGTTGAGGTGGAATGGGTTCTCAGTTCATGGCTCCTTAGATCTTTAATTCTGAAGGTTAATGTAGCACACTGATGTGGTTCTTGTTTTAATTTTTAAATCTTTTTTGTTGACCACCCAGTTTTTGTTCAGAGCAGCACTGAGCCCTAATTTTAGAATTCTGCCGCTTTGTCTTGAATTTTTGTGTTATTTATCTGCTACACTAGAGTCAATGTAACAGGGTCTTATCTCATTTTCCTCTCTGTATTGCTATAAAGAAAATCCTAGAGTCCTCTTTCCCAATAATCCCTCTGGTGCTGTAAGTGCTGCAGGCATCCTTAGCCCATCAGTTCCGCCTGGACTAGGAATGATGAAACTTTTTAAGTAATCAGCTCCCCAACTGGATGGGAACCCCTGCAGTTGAACTTGTATTTCCCTCAATCTTCAGGCTCTGCCTTGAGATCAGGTTCAAATGAGATGAAATTCGAATACCTGTTCTCAGGGTTTTGGCCCCCTCCGTTTCTCTGCCTCATGAATAAGTTGAGCTGAGCTTGGGCTTCAGAGGCACTGTTTCTGCTCTTGTCTGTTCCCTGTGCCTTCCCACTTCTGCGTCATGGAGTAGCAAAAATATGATTCCATTAGGTAGCTTTCATTCCCTTGCTCTGTTGAGTTGCTAGAGGTGGGTTTAGCTGTGATGTCTCCATCCCAGGCACCTTACCTGCTCTGTAGGTTTCAGAGAAAGACAGTGCTGCTTCGGGCAGCTTTGGTGTTTTTTTGCCTTTCTTTTCTATTTACGCAACTGTATGCCTACATCAAGGAGCTCTGGTAGCGTAGTGGTTGTGAATTGGGCTGTGAACCACAAGGTCATCAGTTTGAAACTACCAGCTGTTCTGCAGGAGGAAGTTGAGGCTTTCTGCTCTGGTAAAGATTTACCACCTCAGAAACCCTGTACAAGGTCGCTATGAGTCGGAACTAACTCCACGGCACATAACCACCACCGCCAAGCCTACATCTGTCTTGCTAAATATTTTGTGTTTAATAGAATGAAAATAATTACCTTTTCCGCTTAAGTATTAACACCACTAATGTTCACACAGTTACATATATGAGATTTCTTTAGTTCTTTGCTTGGTTATGTGCCTGGAATCAGTTGTGTGCCATCCAAAGCCAACCCCGTGTGATGCCCGAACTGCCCCCAGAGGGTTTCCATAGTAGAAAGATGTGGCATTCCTCTTCTGGATATACTTACAGCCTGGGAAACCCTGTGAGGCAGTTCTATTCTGGTAGCATAGTGATTACGAATCGGGCTGCGAACCTCAAGGTCAGCAGTTTGAAACTACCAGCAGTTCCACGGGAGAAAGATGAAGCTTTCTGCTCCTGTAAAGATTTACAGTCTTGGAAGCCCTGTACAGGGTCACTGTGAGTCGGAACCGACTCCGTGGCACACCACCACCACCACTAGTATCATAGTATCGCTCTGAGTTGGAACTGGCTCGATGGTAGTGGGTGTGGTTTAGTTTTTTAAATCTATACAGGAGTAGATTGGAGCAAGTCACTAGGTCTTTTCTTCCACAAAACTGCTGGATGGGTTCAAACCACTGGCCTTTCAGTTAGCAGTTGAGTGCTTAACCATTGTATCACCAGGACGCTTGGAACAATTCTAGGCATGGGGAAATAACAGAGAACAAGATAGATAAAAGGTTCCTAAATCTTTATCAGAGCTGACTTTACAATTGGGGCTGCTTAGACTGAGAATAAGTAAAGGCGCAAACAAAAAAGTATCAGTCATGAGTGTTTTGAAGGAAATAAAATAGGATAATATGCTAGAGTGTGTCTGGAGCTGCATGCCGCATTTCTCTTGACGTCATTCTTTGATCTGTAAAATGGGGATAATTTGTTAGTCATACAAGTAGGTGTGGCACAGTACAATTGTAGCATATGGAATTCCAAGGACTGAACCAGACTTTTAATTTAGTTAGAAGCCCCATTTCCAGCTTCTAAATAACTTAAACATCTTATGTATATTGAGCATAGTGGTTACAAATAAGGCTACTAACCTCAAGGTTGGCAGTTTGAAACTACCAACTGTTCCGCGGGAGAAAGGTGAGGCTTTCTGCTCCTGTAAAGATTTACAGCCTCAGAAACCCTGTGCAGGGTCACTATGAGTCAGAACCAACAACAACTGTGGTGATCTAAAGATTCCTTTAACCCATTTATTGAGTGTCTGCCATGTGCCAAGCACTGTTATAGGTGCGGGGGATACAGTTATTGTAAGTGCCATCCAGTTGGTTCTAACTCATAGTAACCCTGTATTGGGTTTCCAAGGAGCATCTGGTGAGTTTGAACCACTGACCTTGGAGTTAGCAGTCCAGTGCTGTTCTACAGTGCCACATTAGGATTCAATAGGGATACAGTTGTTGTTGAGTGCTATGGAGTAGGTTCTAACTCAGAACGACCCTATATAGGGTTTCTGAAGACTAGCTGGTGGGTTTAATCCACTGACCTTGTGGTTAGCAGTTCAGTGCTTATCCTACAGAGCTACACCAGGGCTACAGTTGCTGTTAGGTTGTTGTTATGTGCCATTGAGTTGGCTCCAGCTTGTATCAACCCTCTGCGCAATTGTTAACACTGCTGCCACTGTGCTAGTCTATCTCATTGGGGGTCTTTCTCTTTTTCTCCTACCCTCCGTTTTCCCAAGCATGATGTTCTTCTCCAGGGGCTAGTCCCTCCTGATAATATGTGCTGAGTTTGAGAGACAAAGTCTCACCATCCTGGCTTCTAAGGAGCACTCTGGCTGCACGTCTTCCGAAACAGATATGTTTGTACTTCTGGAAGTCTTTTACTATTCTCCTCCAGCACCATAACTCAAATGCATCAGTGCTTCTGCTGGCTTCCTTATTCATTGTTCAACTTTCACATGCATCTGAGGTGATTGAAAATACCATTGCTTGGGTCAGGAGCACCTTAGGCCTCAAACTGACTTCTTTG